GTATATCTGGATTTTATGTATGATATACCCTCACCACTCTAACCGTTTAAATGTGAGGCCACATTTATCATATTGAAAATTGCCAAGTTTGACGAAATACACTGACTTGGTAACATTTATTCTGGTGATGTTGTTTGCTGTGGAATGAAATATGATTCTTCCTCTTTAATTTAAAAGAAAAGGAACTTTGCTACGATTTTTTTTCACGAAGTTACAGCACTTTAAAGTAACCCTTGCACTTTTAGCATGAAACTTGGCACTTTTCAATATCACAAACGTAGCCTCATATTTAAAGAGGTACAGTAGTGAGGGTCCGTCAAACTTAAAATTAAAAGACAGTATCTTAAAGTAAAGCTTCCACGCTGTAATTTTTTTTTAAATTCATCACTCTGCCATGATTCTTCTCGGAGTTCTCGTCGGTCAAAGTTGTTCAATTTTTCTATTTTTCTATTTTATTTTTTGCAACAGATACAGACAACTTGTGTTTTGCGTAAAGATACGCGGTCCAATAATTAACTCGACGCTACAAGTTTGCATAACTTGGTACTGAGTTTGCCATTCCACTATTGCCACCTAAAACTTCGCAGCTGACATTGGAACGAACTCCGAAGTGTCATAGTGACGTGAATAAAATTAGAGCCGTGCGTACGGGAGAAGTATGAATGCGCCCACGCTCATTCACAGTTCCCGATGATCCAGAACGCGGATCCAGCGGCGGATAGTAATCGAGCAGGGTAAATATAGCCGTCGGGGGGTCGTGGACTGAAGTTCACAGGCGATCGATCGGAAGTTCTTAATGGCAAGTGGACGCCGGCCGGTCAGTAAACAGTCGGATACGCTTAATGTCACCGGGGCCATGATAACGGCACATCGATCGTAGCCGGCTAAAGTTGGCGCGCAATAATCGAGCTGGACATCAATCTGATCCTTGAATTAGCCATGACCTTCAGCGGAAAGGTCTGTCCGGTGACATTACTTAAGGGTCATCGAGTAATGAAGCGTTCAAGCGATCAGGTATACGTCCGGGGATTAAAGGATGCTGAAGAGGATGTACACGCGTGGACCTCCTATATTTGTCAGCTGATAAGCTGTAAAATGTCAGCGATTGGGTCACGCCTGGGTCACAGAATTTTTCCATCAAGGATCTCGTATTTCATCTATCTTGGGCTGGAAACTGGACTTGCGTCGTGGCTCTAGGCGCTTTGGGAGAAGTTGACAGTGTGAGAAAATTTATTAGACCGAACAAGTTGAAGATTAACGAGCACGGAGATGGTTCAAGTAACCGGTCCTTCGATTTTATGGTACCCGGAGGAAAATTAGCCCGGAACAATAGCTCGGCTTGGAAACCGGCTAAGTGTGGGTGCTCTTCCAGGTCAGAGTTTACGCTCGGTTGATCCCCGCGCCGGAGAACAGGGTGCCGTCTGTGTATCCGACAGTTCACACGTGGCACCATCACGAATGTGTGTCAATCCCACAAAAAAAGAAAATAATTCAACTTCCCTCCGATCTCGTACCATCGAGTAAAGAAGTCGAACTCTCAAGAAATCGAAGAAAATGATCTTCGCGGCTACGTGTACGAAGACTTGAATGAAACTGTAAACGAAGTTCGACTTCACTTCGCATCTTCCTTCGAACACTTTCAGGTTCAACGTACCGCAAGCCGAGCAGAACCACGGCTGGCATCCTCCGAGCGAAACAAAGACCCGTAGACCAAGTCTCATTAATCTGAAAACCGCGGGGATTAGCGGCTCGGGCATCCCACAATCTCTCATTCCCTTTATTAATTACCGTCGCGGCGGATTCCTCGATGAACGAGGAAGTTTCTCGCTTTGTCTGGCCACCGCCGGCCGCGCCGCCCCCGCATGTGGGCCCTGGGACTCCTGTGCCGTTTCACACGGCGACGTCATCGGGGCTGTCGCGATTAGGGTCGCCGGAGACACATTGGAACGGCTGTGTCTCGTACGATAATAACCCGAGCCGCGATGTCTCGTGGTCGCTAGACAAATCGAACGTGGAGGGAGACCCTCCAAAAAAATTGTAGGGCCTTGAGAGACATCTTGGGACCAATGGAAAAAATGGTGCGGGTCTTTGAGTGATTGTGAGACAATACGCGTTGTCAAGTGACAACAAGCGACCTCTAGGGTTCGTCAAAAAAGATTCCGCAGCTCGCAAAAGATCACGCCAGATCTTCCAAAAATATTTGAGAGATTGCTGAAGGCCATTAGTTATTTTGGGACAAGTGGAAAAATTGTTTAATTGTCGAATATTGGTTTAGTGATCAGTCATAGCGGTATGGCGGTTTGCGAACATTAGGATGTTCTGATTTTAGCGAACTTCGCGGTGGAAGTTGTTTTCTTGCGCCGACCTCGGTCTGACGGATCGACGTCGACGTCATAGACATAGTCGTCTCAACCTCGATCCCCACTTCCCCCCAAGGATAAGGTCTCTCCCGCGACTGGTCTCGATTACTTTCGCCGTTCGAATTTCTAAGGAGACCGACACTCTCGCGCTATTTTTTCCTGCGTTCGAATAGAAGCGATCGACGAGAGAAATTCGTGAGAATCTTTCCGGAGTTTAGACACTGTTTTGTTGATTTAAGGTTATCGGAGGATCTCTAGTTACTCGTAGATCACTTTAGGACTGATTAATCGAAGCTTGAAACCTGACTAGTTAAAATATTAGAGATTCATTCTATGGACGCGTAACGGTGCTTCATCCGAGGCTGGATCGCTTCGGATTCACCCTGCCACTTTATTCACACTTTATAATTTATCTTCACATAGTATGTTCTTTGTGAAAGAATGCGCCGAGGCTTAATACCTCATCCTATTATTATCTTCGTAGTTACAATAATCATCATTTTCTCGATTGTAATAGTTTCTTAAAAGAAAAAGAAAAATATTTCTTGCATGCATTTTATGCATACTTGATTGCTTAGTCTGTTAGCTGTTGCAATCACTTTGAAAAGTGTGTAAATTACAGGAATTATGTTGTATAAGTTCGATTTCCTTCATGTTTTGTTCAAATACAACACTTGTCAGAAATACATAATTTAATCAAGAATAACCAGAGTTAACCAGCTTAACCAGTTAGCTGTTTTTGACGAGTATACTCGTTATAAAAAAATGGCAACGCGTCGTGTTATAATGAGTACAGTGCGAATGAATTGACAGCGGAGTCGAAAGTCTTGTTTAGTGGCCCTCGGTTCCCAGATTGATATTTGTTTGGAGGAGATTGTTGAGCATTTAGTATCGGATTACACGCTCACATTTTCACGACAGGCGGCGTGACACTGGATCTTCTAATTAGCCCGTTCAGTACGCTTTAAGCCGCGGTGTTGAATTGCATTCTTATCTGAAAAATACCGGGTCCCACACTAACAGAGAACGACCGCCCGGCTCTTGAACCCTTAATTTTAACACCGTCGGATAATTAATTGACCAGCCGGCGACACGACGGATCTAAGGTTGCACAATTTTAATTGATCCGATGAACCTTGACACAGTATATGCGGCTGTGCGTTCCAGGTGCGACAAGGTGCATGTATATACGTTTAATCGGAGAGGTATCGTAAACCGGCTGCCCCGGCTTACTGATGTCATCTATTCGAATATCAACGCTCGGTTAACAATTAGCTATTGTTTGATCGACTTGGAACTTGATTCTGACCCCCATCTCGCGCACATGATCCTCTCGTTTAGTTGCGAAATCTTTCATCTCATTATAAAATGGTTTTCCAACGTTTTATTTAGTCGCGGATAGTTTTCAGACGGCTGCTGACTCTGCCGACTTTTTCCAGCTAACTCAGATGCTGACACGCTAGTTCCACCTGAAGCAAACTGGTCTCGACAGAAAACAGGAGACGTTCCTGCAGGCGTAGATTAAAAAAGTCGGCACTGGTATCATGGAATTTCGAGCGACTTTATTCACTTCTATAATTATTATATTCTTAGTCGACACCTTGCATGGCAACTAAATGGCAATTCGAGTACTTCGTATATGTACGTTAGTGTGTAATTACATTGATACATTGATAGAATGTTCAGTGAGGAATTAATATACAATGGAAGCTCGAATATCCTAACTGACCAATGATACACAGGTGTTCTTATAACAGGGCAGGTACTTAATCAACGTACAGTGGAGCTACGTTTATGCGAACGAAACTTTAGCAGCACCCGGTTGACTGAACTCTATCCTGAACTGAATCCTCTTGCATGCACTCCGATTGAATGAACGAAATATCATAGTCGATGGAGGGAGACAGATTATACAAATCACCAGATTATGCGAATTAACATCACAGGTTCCCTTTTTTTACGGATATCTGCTTTACTGGATTAAATCTCTATTAATGTCTAATAATAATGTCGCTAACATTAATTAATGTTTAATGAATATAAAAAATTGAGATATTAGTGATGTCGGATAATAGAGTGCATGCGAAAAAATCTCAGCAAAAAAATCGTAGTGGACGAAACGTGAGACTTACCGGCGCTGTGTCGACCCTAAGGGCCAATTCCGTTGAAAACGTTGGATCGACGTGAACGGGAAGGCACTGGATAACTTTTCCGGCAAAAATCGTGGTAACTGTGAACCGGCGAGAATAAGGTTGCACCGAGGGTTCACGGGAGCACTGTGAGCCTGAACGCGATCGTGCAGAGGTTCGCCGAGAACTGGGAGAACACGGCGGGCCGACGAGCAACAGCACGTCAATGAAAGAACGCCGGCGATCGGCGTCGCTCATTCGAGCGTCTCCTGCACGTGCGCGCGTGCAACACGCACGCGTGCACACGCTGCAACGGGGACCGGTCTCTCTATCTGCCCCTTTTTTCGGGGATAATATTAAATATCGATTCGCGAGGGACGCCGCCAGACATTTTATTCCCCATAAATATGAATCACTCTCAACTCTGACTTTAACCCCACGCAGGATGCCTGTGAACTTTAATTTTATCTCGGCAACCGTGCCACTTTAATGGTCACCTGTGTGGGCGGAATGTTTTCGAAATGATTACGATTTTTATTTCGTGGACAATACAGATTTTTCGATGGATTCACAAAATTCGTACGACACAAAGGTGGGTCAGCTCCGTTCACTTCATTGTAGAGGAACAATGTTGAGCGTTCGGGGAGACAGGTCTGATCACCTGGTCTTAATTGTCGCCTTCTGCAGCTGGCGGATCGTCTGCAACAGAATAATCTCATTAAGGACTTTCGAACGACGAAAAACTTGGTGTCGCAGCGGAACGAGCTTCCGCTTGTTTATCCGCGTTCCCATTGTCTCTGCTAAGCGCAAGTTCACACTTTCTACCAGTGACACTTCGCTCTACGATCCAATATGTGGCACAGCGCTGCCGAATAATGTTCGTTCCCATTTTTCTGCCAATCTTGGGTTGCAGGATACTTTGTAATTTAATGGATTGTATAATGAGTTCGTTCGCGTTTTCTCGTAGGAAAACATATTACCGTGCAGTCGTCGACGCGAACGGACTGTTCATACGATTTCAACCTAATATACCCTGTTTTAGAGTAGACACTTCCAGCTTTCGTTTAAGCTAAGTTGCATAGGAATAACCCCACGAGAACGTATCTTGAAATCTATCTGAATTTTTCCTTCTAAATCCAGTAAACTCCACGATGTCAGATGTCGATTCCTTTCAATTTTTCAAAATGATCTCGTCATTTTATCGTAATCTAATGTACTCAACCTTAAAGTAGACACTTCCAGCTTTCGTTTAAACTAATTTGCATAGAAATAGCCCCACGAAAACGTACCTTGAAATCTATCTGAATTTTTCCTTTTAAACCGAGTAAACTCCACGATATCAGAGGTCGATTCCTTTCAATTTTTCAAAATGATCTCATCATTTTATCGTAATCTAATGTACTCTACCTTAAAATATACACTTCCAGCTTTCGTTTAAACTAAGTTGCATTGTTGGATCACCAACTCCATTATCCAGAGTTATCTCACTGTCCACAGTGAGTCAGTCGTTTTCGAATCAACTGTTTATATTTCAAGGGTTCGAACCCGCATTTCTCATCTCGAAACTGTTTTCGCGATCCGGGAAGTATTGTAGTCGTGAAATAAACCACTAGTATAATATAAAAGTGTTCGAATCAATCCACCCCGTATCCAACAGCATAGAAATAGCCTCACGAGAACATGTCTCAAAATTTATCTGATCTGTCGCTTTGAATTCGTGTAATCTTCCTTGCCTTTTCCAAGGTGTCAAAGGTCAATGAATGGACTTATTACACAATCTAATACATACCCTCTTCGCGTCCTCGAGGCTTGCAGGCACGTACTTGGCGTTCATAGTCCTGGCTATGTTACTATAGTCCCTATAAAGTGTGTACTGATCCTTCATCCACTGTTTTATCAACGCCATCCTATCCTGCAGGCCTCGAATCTTGTCCTCGGACTTTAAATCTGCATCCGTTGGATCTGCATAAAATGACGGAAAGACGTTCAATGATAGTCCGAGGTGCTGAAAAAATTCAAGTTCATCGTACCCGGTTTCTCGAAGGCTGCAATCTTCGGGAACTCGAGAGGCTTGATGGCAGCTATCTTGCCGGATCCAGCTGGATCCCCTATCCCGTATTCCAACCGGGTTTGCTCCAGTTCCAACAAGTAGTTCCGGATGTCCTCACGTTCCTGTTGCTGCCTGAGCGCGGCTGCTTGCTTCCGCAATTTCCGCGCATGCCTGCAATCGAACCTCGACTGCTTCTCATCCAGTCTTATTCGATTCGTCGTCTTCCTGGTTTTCGAGGACTTTGACGATCTCTTCGAGGTGGTTCTTCTTCTTTTCTGGTCTGCATTCGTGTCCTTCAGCTGTAATCAAATACAGTAAATTCTCTAAAATTGTCAAGGAGATAGTTGCCCATTTTTGTTTCCTTGCCGAGGAACAATTTCGGAGAATTTACTGCATTTGCTGTCGAATATTCAACTAGTGGAGCTAGAAGCGAACTAACATTGTCCAGAGACCCAGTCCTGCTGTCCTTCCACTCATCGGCGACGTGTTTAGCTGTTGGCAGCTTCACCACGGTTCCGCACTTCTTCGTGCTTTTTGTCTCCCTGCTATGGAATCGGTATCTTCTGGCGATAGCGTCTATCGCGTCTCTGTTCAAATTTCTAAGGGTCCAAGTGACGTCCGAATTTTTCGGTGTCTCTCTCAGAAGCTTCTCGCTAGAGGTGCTGTATTCGTCTTCAGCCTTTGCTTCGTCGGCCCTGCTCTCATCTACCCGCGAAGGATCCTTCTGCTTCTCCAGGTTCGCGGCCTCTCTGAAATCGATACGGTCGATAGAAAACGAAAGGCTGATCGTGAAACCGCATCTTACATAGTTGCTGAAGAGCTGTTCTGGCTGTGTCTAGGTCTCTCCTGATCAGACACTTCGGAGGATTCGCTGATCTTCCGGGTGTCCTCGATGTTCTCGCTCGGCTTTCTCTGCTTTCTACCTCGTCGGGGATGCTTCCGAGGAGTTGTTTGCTTTAACGATTTCAGGAGGGTGATTGGCTCTACCTCGTGCACGTTTTCCGACGTCTTGACGTAATTCGATAGCTCCTCGTCGAGGCCGATCTCGCACTCGCTCGTGCTCTGCACTATTTTCGGTGGGACCAGTTCTATGATCTTCTTCTCCTTCGGTGCGATCTCTTCGGGGCTGGAAATTTGACGTTTTAGTTTCATTTATTCGGGAATCCGATGCCTGTATCGGTTCGGATAAATAGCGGATCAATAAGCTAAAAAAGTAAAACAGATATAATATAAAAACATTAAGTTAAGCGAAATGCATATACTTTGAGAATATTGTAGGTATGTTAAGTTAAACCATGCGATGTGATATATAAATCAAAACTATATTCGGAGCGTCATATATTTCCGACATAAAAATTATACATAAGATTATATGGAAGAATCAAATGTTCGTGTTTAATGTAATAAAAAAATATAATATAAATATAATGTGATACAATCAAAAATAGATGTTCAATTTGTAAAATGACAACCCTGTATTAAAGTATATGATAATTAGACTGCAGATCAAACAAGAGTTAAAAAAAGAATCTATTTTCATTCGTAACATTTTTAACCAGATGAATATAATGGAACAGCATTGTTAAATTTTTGTCTTCCATTTAATGTGTTCTATTTGATCTACTCATTTTTTTTCATAAATGCATTAAATCCGCAGTCCAACGATAACGCGCGGATATCAGTGTATCAGGACGGAACGAAATTCCTAGCACGGAAAATAAAGATTTCCTAATTGGAACTGGAATTAGACCCATACAACGCCATCGGACGGCATATGTCTGAATCTAAACTACCTGTCTTCAACCACAGTCTTCCTGGCGCTCGCAGGCTGCATGTGGACAGTGATCATGACCTGTTTCACCCCAGATCTAACTGTGTTTTCATAAGACTGCTCCCTAAGCATCTCCTTCGACCGATCCTCCGCATAGCTGGAAGAGGCTGTCGAAGAGGAAACCTGTTCGAACGTGTCGCTCTCGTATTGGACCTTTCGCTCTTCTCCAATGACGCTGTCGTTCTTCTTCAGGGTTTCAATCAGTTCGGAAACTATGTCGCTTCTTTCGCTTATCTTGTTAGCTACCTCTATCGCCTCTTCACTATCCTCTTCCTTCAGCTCCTTCATATTGGTCTCCATAATTTTCTCTTCAGCCTCAGTCTCTTTTCCTTCTCTTCTACCAGTCAAGGACTCTTGGACCACCTCTGAAACTTCGGAAATCTCCGATGCCTTGGACAAGATCGTCGCGACCGAAGATTCATCCTTGCTTCCCGCACGATCGCCAGACCCAGCTGACCTGCTCTGATCCCTGCCCTTGGATTCGGAACTGATGCTCCTCATGGAGGATGCTAGGTCAGAAGGTCTTCGAAAGGAGTTCCTTCTGACCGGAGATATCTTATCTGATTTAACTGTGTCATCTTCTAGAGCTAGATCGTCCACAGTATCCTTAGGTGTCTTCATTCGGGAGATACTTTTAGTACTTGGAACATCATTCGAGCTGTGGTCCTCGGACTTCGGAATGACCTAGAAGAATCCTGGCTTGTACATCGCGACAAGGACGTAGGATTCGATGCGTATGTACCTTGAACCCGTGGCTATCGTCGCTGTCAGCGGTGTCCTGCGTTCTGACAGGTGCATCAGCTGTCATCCTGGGCGTCGCTTCGAGGGACGTGTCAGTGCTGACGTTGCTCTGGCCTCTCGTGACCTCGTTACGCTTAATGCTATACTTCCTGTCCATCTCCTTGAGCTTCAACAGCGCGGCGGCAGCCCTCGAGCGCATCATCGTGCTTCTTCCAACTTTAGGAGGTGAACTCGGCCTGGATCGACAGACTCACTGGCTACACTTGTGGATTTTCATTCAGCCCCGATCATAACGCGCTTGTTGGAACCCGTTGCCATGAGAACAGTTTGTACACAACGTGGCTCGAAGGCCGGGCCACCCCATCCGCCAGGGTTTTTCGAACGCATCCCGCTGGCCACTGATAAGCGGCTATATTGTCGTTCAAGTGGGCCATATAATACTCCACAGAAAAAGATCGTCTCGACAAACTTCGCCTAAGAGTGTCATAAACCCGGGTGCTTTTTGCGCCTATTAGACGTTTCTGGAATTTTAGCAAAAAATAGGAAATGTTGGTGACAAGATATGATTTACTGTCGCGTATCGCGCTATACCAAAGCGTAGTATTTCATGTTTCGTTGAATTGTATGCCAGACGACGCTCTTATCAAGTGATTAGTGATTACACAAGTGTCTATGCAAGGACGCATGCGGCCAAGTCCAGTGAAGCAGAGGAAATGGCAAAACGGTGCACAAATATTAAATCGATGCACAATTATGCGATATGCGACGAGTCGATGACTTCGTATTTATTGCTGGCCTTTAAACTTAGGTCTGGCTGTGTTTAAATAAAAATTCCCTCATCTTTCCCATTTTACGGATTGTTAAATGATTTTTCACTCGAATCAATGAGAATTTAATCCGCAACTAAGTAATTGTTCCATTCTGTCGCACGTAGCACAATTCTTTTACACACGAGCGAAAAGTGAATCGTTATGCGTCAAAACAAATAATGCTTGCCTTGACACGTAGCCAATTGATCTCTGCTATTGACTTGTTGTACGCGTATCAGTGATTTATTCCAGCTCTGTGACTAGGTGTCTTATCCGAACATCTTTTGTTCTGATCGGTTTTCAGTGTACGTACTGTAACTATGATGCACCAAATTAGGTCTAAAATTGTTATGCGTCAAACTATAATATGACTATTTATTTTGTGTGCAGTTCTGATGGGTATAGGACTGTTATCTGTAAAATCATAAACCCAGGACGAAAGATATAATAACCCCGGATATTTCCGGCTGAAAACCGAACGCTTTTAACTATTTGTGAAAATAGATATGACATCATAAAGGAATGTTTCGATGAATTATAAATAGTAACCACAAACAAGAGATAAAATTAAAATATGTAGTTCTATGGAATAAGTATTTTATTTGAGATTAAACATACACACACTACAAACTATACAAGGCAAATGAACAGGATAAATAGAGAAAGTTATAAAACTGATTATTTTATTATGTTTCTGGCTGTTAAAATATTTCTTTCATACACCGAATTCTGTTTTTACACTGAAACGTTTTCTGGAACATATCTACCGTTTAAAAACGGAATTGCGTGTACAACTAAAATAAGATAACATTATAAATTACTTTTTCTTCTTGAAATCATTAACACTGATATATCTTTGACTAAAATTTACCTAGATCCTTATAGAAAGTCCTGCCGGACGCATTAATAATTAATTCAAATCCGAAGAAATCCGGACGGATGGCAACCGTACCCGGACAGAACATCCCTGAACTTATCCGTTGGACCATATTTTGAATCTGTGAAAGGTGAAATTAATTAAGGAAAATCATTTGAATATCGCTCCAAGGTGACACAGCCAATCAGGAGGATCCACTGCGTCGGTGCGTTCGTCTCTATCGTCTTCCCTATCGACAACAGATAAAATAAGGACAATCACGGTGGCGCGAGGTTATGTGCGGCGCGGCATGTCTTGGGTTGCCACGGCGCGTCGGCTGGTTGGTCGAGCGTGGTCGGCGTTGATTGGGCCTCGTTCGTCGACCAATCGTTGCCCTCCATCTGTCTACCCCGGTGGCTGCTAACTCGCCAACCACGTCTGCGACTCAGGCATTATCGGCTAGTTCATTGTGGAGACAAGATCATCGTCGTGCGGACTCTCGTCGTCCCGGCGTCTCAAAATGCAGTCCTTCTGCTCGTTTCTGCTGCTGCTTGCGGTCACGCTCGCCACCGCGGAGGTCTACTTCGAGGAGAAGTTTCTCGACGGTGAGTAAAATCCCGTGAAAATAATTCTACTATCGTGTACATGGGCCCAACGATCGTCTACCAGTATTAAGACCGGGTTCTAGAAAAATCAACTTCACGGTTCCCACTGCGTGAACCACACCCACGCGTCCATTTCCCTGGATTTTTCCACGAAACTTCTGGATCTTAACTGTACTTCTCGCGGAGTTCCGCTCTTCGTGCTCCGCCGCTTAGAAACACACTGTATATTTCTCCTTGGTAACCACACGCCCTACTACACCGTCCCCGGTGTACATTCCCGTCGAATACACACGGATTTTCGTTAATGGAGGGTGGATTTCATTTTCCGGAGAAGGATTCGATTTTACCCCGGCCATATGCGTCCATGGGGAGTCGAAATTGCCGTGAACGTGGCCATGGTAGATTGTCTCGTGGCATTGGCGTATAGTACGCCGACATGACGCGCGATCGATCGGTTGATCCGCGTTCCACGGGCTACGCTTCCTATAGCGGACCTCGTGGCTCGGCAAAATTCAGATGTTACTATTTTTGATCTTAGTTTACCGGATTCTTTCTCCCCTTCGTCGAATCGTTGTGCGCCGTATTTTAATAGTTCATTCAATGCGCCGCGTTATTTTCGGTTTTTCTTTCCCCCATTCATCACCGGTCGAAAAATTGTATCTACGTGCGCAACTTCGTTTATTACCTCGTAATCACTGCCATATTTTATTCGAAGAACCGCTCTGAGAATTTCTTATTTATTCATTTTTATGATTTATAGCACCCTAGGAGGAAGATATCAAAATCTTCTGCATTATGATTTCTTTTGCAACCGTGTTCATTAGCACTTTTTCTTTGTTATTAAAATTTGTTCGTGAAAAAGAAAGATCACAGTTTTACAGTTTACATGTAAGCGATACTTAATGAAAATCCATTTTCAGATTCGTGGGAGAAGAATTGGGTTTACTCTGAGCACCCTGGTAAAGAGTTTGGAAAGTTCGTTTTAAGTCATGGCAAGTTCTGGAACGATCCAGAGAATGATAAAGGTACGATACCTATTGGCTGAGTATATTATTCAAAACTTGGAGTCCTGGTTGAATTAATTAATTATCTTCAGGTATCCAAACATCTCAGGATGCCAGATTCTATGCTATCAGTAGGAAGTTCGATCCATTCAGCAACAAGGACAAGCCCCTTGTGGTCCAGTTCAGTGTGAAGCATGAACAGAACATTGACTGCGGCGGCGGATACGTCAAAGTATTCGACTGCTCGTTGGAACAGAAAGACATGCACGGAGAGAGTCCATACCAAATTATGTTCGGTAAGGATTGGTCGTAATTAGCGGCGTTGCCGAGCCTAGAGTCACCGGTCGCATCCTATGGTGCATTGGTGCTAATGGTTGTCGGAGAGTAAATTCTTTCTTATGCCCTGAATATTGTTCTCATATGTAGTTCAGGTACCTAGTAAGATACATTACATTTACTTAAAGCCAAAGAATCTCGATTGTCCGAGCACTGACTAGCTCGGAAAGTCGATGTTTCATCGTGGCTTCTATAATCCCGAACATCGTTCCTTCGTTCCCTATAATTATGTTTCACTTTGGTGTAAAAAAAAAAATGCGTGATCTCACGTTTGGCACGAGTCCAATGAAGTCTGCGCTATACACGGATTCTTGAACTTACTTGTCCGACTTCAGGACCCGACATCTGCGGACCCGGAACAAAGAAGGTCCACGTGATCTTCAGCTACAAAGGCAAGAACTTGTTGATCAACAAAGACATCCGCTGCAAGGACGATGTCTACACTCATCTGTACACTCTGATCGTCAAGCCCGATAACACGTATCAGGTGAGCAACTACGACAAAAATAGATCATTAAAGTTTCGAGCCTAGAGTCACATGTCCTCTTTGATGATCTGTGGAGGACAGGTGCGAAAGGAACTCGAAGAGCGAAGATTATCTTGTTTATTTCAAGTAGAGAATCTGGATCTCTACATTTGAAGCAAAGACCAACACTATTATCTTCACAGTAATTTCTCTGTAATATTGCGCAATATTAAAATACAAATGCTTTCTTACAGAGGGAATATTGTATTGCACAAAAAATGATGAAGTTCCTTGATCAGCAGCGTCGTGAATAGAATGATTTGTTCTTTAGGTTCTCATCGACAACGAAGAAGTTGAGTCTGGCGAGTTGGAGGCAGACTGGGACTTCCTGCCGCCCAAGAAGATCAAGGATCCATCCAAGAGCAAGCCCAAGGACTGGGACGACAGGCCCACTATTCCTGACCCTGATGACCAGAAGCCTGACGACTGGGATCAACCAGAACACATTCCTGACCCTGAGGCCACCAAACCTGAAGACTGGGATGATGAGATGGATGGAGAGTGGGAGGCTTCTCTGATCAACAACCCCGAGTACAAGGTCCGTTGCATGTCTCTGGATAGGGTAGTGGAACTTGATACTATGATCTGACCAATTTCTATGCCTTTGGCTTTCTTTCCGACACAATACTTTATATTATAACATTTTTTTATTCTTTTATTTTCTTCATTTTTGAATACTATTGAGTACTATTTATTTATTTTTTAATAAAAAAATTGAATGTCTTATTCAGTAAATATAAAGTTAGTTTTGCCCGAAAATAATCTAAAGGCACAGCAATTGGTTACCCCACAGTTAGCGGCTCCACTACCCTAATTTCATTTCAAATGTGACCAGGTCTGGTCGTGGCAACGTGTCGCAAGATTCATGAACTGATCGAGCGTTTGTTTTGTTTTCAGGGCGCCTGGAAACCGAAACAAATCGATAACCCTAACTACAAGGGACCGTGGATCCACCCGGAAATGGACAACCCTGCCTACACCCCTGATCCGGAACTGTACAAGAGGGACGAGATCTGCGCCCTTGGTTTCGACCTCTGGCAGGTGAGGTCTGGAACCATCTTCGACAACGTTCTCATCACGGACGACCCTGATGTCGCTCGCAAGTTCGGCGAGGAAGTTTGGAAGCCCACTATCGTAAGTTTTATTGCGGTTCTAACAGAAGTTTTACAAACTGATGGAAGCAAATGATGTGAAAAGCATTCCTGATTTTAATGAGCGATAAAAAAGCTGGAATTCCTCGTTACTGATCGATGAGATTCAATCAATTTATTGAGAACGTCTCGAGGACGATGTGGAGTAATTTTTTTTATTGAATATTTAGGAGGGTGAAAAGAAGATGAAGGAAGCTCAGGATGCGGAAGATTTGAAACAGAGAGAAAAGGAAGTGAAGGAGAGCGAGGAGAACAAGGATGACGATGAGGACGAGGACGCCGATGAGGAGGATAATAGCGTCCCAGACGTGGAAGTGAGTGTTTCTGTTGAGAATATTGTAATTGGTAAAAAAAATTAGCACGTTGTTAATCAATTAACTTGCTTTATTACAGGAGCATGACGAATTGTAAACGAATTTGTCGTGAACGACACGAACACAGACTGTATTCCAGGAGCTGTGTGGCCGCGACACGCACCAACATTTTCCAAACGTGTAAACGTCACAATAAGAAGAAAGATCATTTCTATGAATTGGGAGGAATGAATTAACTCGTGCAAGTTGGTGGACAAATTTTTCAACAGTGAAAGGCAATCCCTTCTCTCGCCACCCCTGTAACGATATTTTAGTCTAACCATGGCCTTGTCTTTGCAGCCTAAACTGAGAAAAAGCAAAAGAAAACACTTTTCGTACCCTAGGCTTGAATCTTCAGTACCGCGTGTTTATTACGATGCGTACTTAAAGCAGTGAGACAAAAATCGTCAGAGTGTAACCTCGCGTTTGATGCGTTACCGAAGGTACGCTGCAATATCGGAAATATTCGTCTACCCCTCCCCCGCTATATATAAATATATATATAATATATACATACATATATAATATATATGTATTATATTAAAAAGAAAGAAAAGAAATAGAGTCATCTTGCCCCAACCGTGTCCCCCCATGGCACAGCTCCACAAAAGACTCTAAGTTGTTCCGTTTTTGTTTGTCAAGTGTTTTTATATACAATAAAAAAAAAAGAATAATTGAGATGTAATTTAAACGACGCTGTATTATATATATATATATTATATATTACTTCAATTTCCGTACAGTGTACGCGTATTAAGAAAAGAAAAGAAGTTCGCTCCAGTTTAAAAGATTAAAAAAATGTGGTAACAGTGTGACTGAGAGAGATGTGTGCGGACCGAGTGATTCAGAAAAATAATTGGTATGATACATGTATCGAAAGCAACCAATAAACAATGTAATAAATAAGACTTTTCTAGACGTGCTCGAGGCGTTCATTTCTTTATGTCCTAATCATTGCGGTTTATTAGTCAAGATTATGTTGAGTCATTTAATCAAGACCCTCCTACGGTCATTTGGAGAGAACTTTGAAGAGTTGCAAAATGTTGCACACTCAAAATGAACCATTTGAATTGAAAACTATAGTTTGTTGTGATTTGAGCGCGCGAACTTATGAACAGCGCTGCAATCTTCTGGATCGTAATTAAAAATAGCGATCTGTTGTTCATGAGATAACATTTTATGCATGATTGCTTTTTAGGGTTGAACTTATTTGAGCTTCAACTTTCACCTTAATTACCACTATGATCTATTGCAACAATTTTTTTTATATTTCTTTCGAGCAGGATTGTTTAGGAATTTATTGAAACATATAAATGGTTGCCGACTTTGGAAGGAAATAATAAATAGTATATTCGATAAATATATAAATTTATTTTCCTTTTAACAATGACAATTGTCATTCCGATCGAAGTTACATTTTCCTCAGGAATATAGATAGAAAGATTCAAGGTGGAAAATTAGAAAGTGAAATGCATCGGTTATAACTTAAAGCTTGGTAATAGTACAAATATTTAAATAGTGCTTAAATAGTTCGTAAAATTGTCTAGAAATCGATTGTATTGTACAGTTGAATCGAATGTACATTTTCAATAAAAACTAAGCTCTATCTACTAAGGCACTCATTATCGAGGTTGCCCTTTTGATAATTTTTAAAATCTTCATGGGAATTCGGCAGGTGACGTTAGATAAGTGTTATTCGAACTCGCTATGGGATTAAGATAGTCTTTTTGCAAGATTTAAGATACGTTTCGTTCGACGACGATCGTCGTAACTTACGTGTGAGAGGAGTTTATTTAGAGAATCATTGAAGACTGCGGAGAAATCATCTATAGAACAATAGAAGCAACACACCGTCGTTATTGCAGTTCATCAAGAAGTATAAAAAATACAAAACTGATCAAATTTCGTGGAACCTCATCGCGGACTTTTTGAAAGTGCCACAAATAAATATATTTCGAGTGATTAAATGTGTCTGCGTTTATCTTTGTACATTTAAAATTGCTTATGATTACGCTGCGAACCTTCATCCAAATATTTACGTTGTTATTCAATTTCATGACAATTGGAATATAGGGAAAAGTTGTAGACTTTGTGAGGTAATAATAAATTAAGAGTATTGTTAATTTTTAAGAATATACACCTTTCCTTGCACTTTAAAACATTGCCAAAAATGTATAAAAATCCGCAGCCTGCTTGCGAATCTTATAAAGATAATTAGTTTTTAATGAGAGAATTATTATTAAGGTATAATTACATGAGAAGTAAAACGCGTTCGCTGATAGAATAGATATTTTCACGAAACGACTTTTTAATTAATAGTTAACTATACTCTAGGAAAATTTTTACAAATAGACAAGGCGTCCGAGTGCACCTTCTTGAAGTCGTAAGATGGAAAGTTGAACACGTTGACTCGTGAACTTTTCAAATATAGCATGAACAAAGTCAGCTCGATATTGGCGTTCACTACTGTCTCGATTGAAAATTATTCGTCAACGTTGTCAATTTATTCCGAGCAAAGTCTTAGAACGAAGTAATGAATTGTCTACGTTTTTGTGCGATCGAAGAAGAGATTACGTGGAATGGAAAGATTTTAAGATAGTCTACATCTGTCTCTACTCCCAGAGGATCCCACCTCCACGGTTCGTCGCCTGGGAGCGTCCTCGTCTTGCATCGAGGCCTGAAGAGCTCTCGCAAGAGCCTCGTCCTCGCTCATACTTCCTTGATAGTTTGTCATGATCTCGCCGTTTCTCCTATTTACATTAACGTTATTTTCTAGTTTGTCCAGTCTTCTTCTTCTGGTTGCCTCTTCAGGACCTAGGCAACCATGGTCTGTTGGATGTCTGTGCTTCAAGCAGAAATTCTGATTGCAGTCTGAACAGCGTACTTGCACTATCTCTTTGATTTTGCAGCCTTTAGAGGAACATCTGAAACAGGATATTCTTTTATAGCTTAAACTTTCAATGTGAAATGCATATTAACTCTTATCTGATATCAGATATTCGGACCTATTATATAGTATCACATAAGAGGCTTGTAAGTATTAAACATCTGTAGGTGGCTTACTTATTGGAAAATATTTTTGCCCTAGGTTTCTTAAAGTCTGACTGGCATTCATTGTCCATATGTTGACCTACAGCAATGTCAGGAGGGTCTCCTCTCTTTGTTGGTACCGGTGTGTTGCACAGTGGACAGACAGGGACTTGAACATCTTTTTTGTAAGCGCTTGGGCAGCTGTGGTTTGTATATGATATGTGCTTGGTACAAAAGATCGCCGAGCATGCATCACATTTTAGAGGTAAAAAGTCTAAACGGTTGCAGCTGTTTTCTGAGCAATGTTCTCCCAAGTTTGGGAACTCCATTGTTTGTGAGGATAATCTAAAACGAAAATTAGTATTTAACTAAGTGAATATTGTATTTTATACGCAAACAAAGTAGAATAGAACTTTTCAAGGCATTTTCAAGAGAATTTGATTAAAGACATACCCACAATCACGATGAAGTAAGATTTCGTAGTTCCTCCTGACAGTTGGAGATTAACATGCCACTCTCGCTGTGTATCACAGATAGGTGAACATCACCTGGAACTATTTCCACGGGTATCCAAAAATTTAGCAGCACGGTGTCTCGTTCGGAAATTGCGTCCTCTGTTTTAGTTGAACAATTAAAACACACTACTGTCTGACAGAATTTCAAGTGACTGATCATTCAGATTTTAGCCTTTTATATACTAAACATGTCTTACGAAACTGACGGTACAGTCACGTCACGACATCCAACGAATAACATGATTAAGCATGACGTTGCTTTTAACTCGCCAGTAGAGTTTCTCGAAATTTCTTTAGGGAATATCCTAGAATTCCCTATACCTTAAAGTCTGCTGTTTAGTGAGATTCGTTCGCAGACCGTATTCCACATGTTCCATCGAATTAACTTTAAACAATTTATTTCAGAATTCTACTTGGCGCAAGTTCCTGGCAATAACTGGCGGATATTTCACGCGGGCAAATATTTTCTGTCGTTCGACAGATGTCCCGAGGATTCGTCAGAAATTTCCCATAGTTGGCATAGTTCATGCGCAACGCATTGAATTTTCCCGCAATCATGGAAAATCGTGTTTCAATTCCCTCGTTCCCGCGCATTGAAACACGAGGAACACGGAGCGCGCTCTCGGCGATTTACAATCATAAACTTGAGTTTGCTTTGTACTTATCACTGGAGCATGGTTTTATTATGATTTTTGAGCGCCAGGTGGCCGCGTTTTTGTTGTCCATTTGTCGAACAGTACAGGTCTCAGCGCCATTACATCGATAAATGTCATTGTATCCGCGTCCCGCGACCCTAATTTTGAATCGATAATTAATTTTTAAATAAGCCAGCCAGGTGTAATAATGTCGAGCAAACGGAAAAATACGACGGCGAAGAAAGGCCGCGCCAAGCAAAAAAAGGTCGAGTACGACGACGAAGACATTTCTAGCGAGCATGATTCGGATGTCGATGACGCCGCCGAGACCGGTTCGAACGCCGACGGTGAGGACGCTACCGAGGATGACCTTACCGATGTCTCCAGTTTCCCGGAATTGCCGCCACCTGAGGTGAGATTACCTTCATCTTTCTCCTATGCTTGTTTATCCCGGGTAGTGGACCGTCAACGAACCTGGACCTGGACCTCGACGAGGTTGCAACCTTGCCACGCGTTGTTAAATGTGCTCCTCGCTAATCGTCGTTCGATTAGGTTTGCAAATTCGCCCGTGTCCTCTCTGTACAAGTGCAACAAAATCTTGCACTTTCTACAGATTTGATTCACTTCATAAATAATTAATTTTATAAACCAGATCCATTTGTTGGGTTACAGTAATTAGCTCCCCTATGTGTTTGACAACATGTCTCTGCATGTGTATTGTAGACCAACTTGAAGGAATATATTTATTTTCTGAATATTTTATGATGTGAAATTTGATTTTCTATTGCAACTGACAGATTTTTCTTTGCTGCAGGGTGGATGGGGCAAGCCTGGCACGTTGCTCATGTGTGGCCTCACGAACTGGGATATGGCGGGTCGCAAGGCCCCACCAAAAGGGGTCAAGGCTAATGTGGGCCGTAGTTTATGGACCCCACATACCTTCAAGAATCTTAACGGTGCGCGGGTGAGGCTGGTTGCCTCCGGTCCTGCTGCATCTCATAGTATTATCGTCACCGAGGACAACAGATGCCTAGCATTTGGTAGAAATGATAAAGGTAACGGTATAGTATGCCGCCTATAAATTCCTACTTAAGTCCCAATTCTGTATTCAGTGGATCTCCATTTGTATGAACTGGGAGGGAGCAGGTTTAAACTACAAGTGATTGTTTAGATAATAAGAGTATTCCTATTAAATGGAGTTCCTCTTTACAGTCTTCCTTAAGCCATAGCTCGCACTTAGCAGTTTTAAGTATAATTTCAATGACACATACTTCAGAAACACCTTTTGATTTCAGGTCAATTGGGAGTCGGTGACGCGAAGCGTCGCGATGAGCCCACGGAGGTGACATCTCTGAAGGGTCACACAGTGATAGCAGCGTTCTGTGGTCGTAACCACACTCTATTTTTAACTAGCCGTGGAATAGTATTCGCGGCTGGAGACAATAAGTTAGGGCAATGCGGGGTCGGTAAGAACGACGCCTCCATTGTGTCCGCGACCAAAGTGAAGTATTCTGGTCCTCCGATTGTTAAAATCGGCTGCGGTGCAGAGTTCTCGATGATCCTGGACATTAAGGGTGGCCTGCACTCGTTCGGCAGTCCAGAGTACGGAGCTCTGGGCCACAACACCGACGGGAAGTACTTCATAACGAACACAAAGATGGCATTCCACTTCGAAAAAGTGCCTAAGAGAATCGTTCTGTACGTCGAGAGAGCGAAGGACGGTCACGTGACGCCGCTGGACCGTGTCGAGATCACGGACTTCAGCTGCGGCCACTATCACACCGTTGCCATCGACAGCAAGAATCGCGCGTTCTCATGGGGATTCGGTGGCATCGGCCGTTTAGGCCATAACGAGCAACGAGACGAGTTAGTGCCTCGCCTGATCAAATTTTTGGAGCCACCTAACCGGGGCGTTAGGGCTGTACACTGCGGCAGCACCTACAGTATCGCCATCAACGTCCACGGCACTGCCCTAATGTTTGGCCAGACCAAACGCACCGGGGAGGCGAACATGTATCCGAAACCGATCCAGGACCTCTCCGGGTGGGAGATCCGCTGCGTCGGCTGTTCCCAAACTAGCGTCGTTGTCGCGGCCGACGAGTCCGTGATTGCCTGGGGGGCTAGTCCTACGTTCGGAGAACTGGTAAGCTTCCTTCCACGCTAACTGTAGTTCTGACAATTTTTTTTTCTTCCAGTTTTGTAACTTTTTTCCAACTGCAACTTTTACATCATTTTTGTTGCTTATTAAACCAGTCGGTGTTAACATTCTAACAAAATTGTCGTACTTCGACCCAATTTTTAAGAAGTTATTCCATTTGAAGAGTTGTCAATGACATTTTGTTGCAGGGTTTCGGTGAAATGCGCAAGTCCTCGACCACCCCGATGGAGGTGAAGGCATTAGAAGGTTTATACATTACTGCTGTTACCTGCGGCGTCTCACATACGCTTATGATCTGCCGGGACGAGTCCGAGGAGGAGAAGGCCAAGATCAACAAACTTCAAGTGTATTCCGTTTAGGCGATACGTTTCGCACCGTAGAGGTAAAACAAACCGAGAAAGATAAACGAAGCAAAGCAGAAATGAGAAACAACAAGATTACTCGAGATCAGCGTGCTAAGAAATTCTTCTGTGTTCATCGCAACAAAAAAAAAAAACCACTCACACGAACGGATCACAAAACACCGGGAGTCGCCACATTGTTCCGATAATCGAGAGGCCCGCAGGCCGCGCGGGCCTGTCCTTTCGAATAGACTGCGAGAAACGTCCATATTGAATACAGACTTAAACTAATTACTTTTACTATAATACGTACTTCCACCCCCTTTACTTAACGTACGAAGGAATGTTTACCGTAATAGGGAACCCCGTTTTGTTAGTAGCTCAGGATATAGACCAAACAGATAGATGCGAAAAAGAATATATTTTGATACGTTGCTATTTTATTGACATACTCTGCATCTTCGATCAGAAATGGAAAACATAGTTGACATGTATGAGGAAGAGTGCTGGGAATAACGTGATTTTCATCGAGACAGGCACCTCGCCATTCGTGTATCTTTCGTTTTCATCATTGTCCTAACGAAAACATTGTTAATTCATTGCAGCAGTACCTGAACCATTGAGACCTTGTGGTCCGTAACTACGGTTCTCGCTGACCGAGAACATTTTTTTTAATTTAAGACACCAATCGAGAATCGCTTTCATTTTATCGTTTTCTGTTCGCAGAAAATCGTGGCGGACCGCAAGCGTCGAATCTGCAAAAATCAGTTTTATATTTTGTATACAAAGACAAGGCGGAATGTCGCAGCTGCATTGTGGACGTTCACGCGGGTTTACATCATTTTGGGAGTTTTCTAATCTGGTGGAACCGCGTCCCACGAAAACGTACTTCTTTCGCCGTAGATCGTTCGTTTTTTTACGCGTGAGGTCGACAATGTTGCTGCGACGAGTCCCGCCGTATCCACTGATTTGTACGGTTGACATTTTTCATTGTAATAGTCGCGAACGGTATTAACGACACTGACATCGTTACAACAGATTTTTTTTTTGTAATTCATTCTGTCCTTCCTCGAGCACACCGGCATTGTTGGTCATACTTATGAACTAAGGATTACTTTGCAGTTACAGAAACAACAAAGAAAGTCTTAGCAAAGGGTATACATTGTTGACAAGTGATTGCGGTATATACAGACATGTACACACACACACATATACACACACAAGCATCGTACACCGTCGAGAGCATACATACGTATACGCGTTTGTATTTCACTGTTCGTGTCCCCATAGTGAATGTAATCGAAATTTTTATATCGTAACTTTATTTGATAGTTCTGTCGATCGATCGTGAAACGATTTTCGGGTACCACGTAAGTTGTTCATACTTTTTTACGAGACGCCGCCGCTAGCACGTCACTGCCACGACCATATTCTCCGAGCGTGTCTCGTGATATCGAGCATCCATTCCTTTCCGTTTTATAAATCGTTCTTATACGGATACCAGCCGTAGCACCGTTTTTACCACACCGAAGACGAGTGTACATGGCAAATTACGAATAAACGAATTTTTTAAGCAATTTCTATTAAACCGAGTCTTCACCATTTGAGAGCATCTCTTCGCCCGAAATACTGTCGATCATTCCACAGGTGCTGCACACCTCTGGATACCGGCATTCTTCGAGTTTCGTCACCGCACTGCCGGCGTCTTCGCTGGAGCAGCATGGTCGAGGCGATTGAAAACTTTTGCATTCTTTTAAGGGACTGTCAATAATTTTACAGGTGCTGCTGCACTCGGGAAATCGGTAAGATTTTTTGGATGGTACGCTGGTGAGTTTACAAGAGCTACAGATTTCGGGAAATGCACAAGGTTTGGGAGACGGTTCTAATTTGCATGAACTGCAAATTTCTGGAAATTCGCATTCCCCTGATTTTTTCACCGGGACCTTTGTGCATTCGGTACATCCTTTGATAAAATCCAGATGCTCCTTGCATCTCCGACAAGGAGTATTCTTCAAAGCCTCCTCGTATCTATTTTTGATTAGCTCTTCCTGTTCTTCATTTTTCTCCGACTATTTAAAAATGTATTTTTTAATTGATGTTATACAGTATTTTTAACAAACCGTGGTTCGAAAAATAATGCTAACGATAAGTTTCCGATCCATCGCCACTGTGGCCATCGCAATGGCTTCTCTGACGCTCTCCTGTTTCTGCTGATTCAGATTGTATTTCCAGCGCAGCAAACTGTGCGCCGTGTAATGTAGAAGGTCCGTTGGATTGTATTTCAAACTTTCTGCCATCGCCCATGCCAGTGGCACCATAACATTTTGCCTACAATTTCGACGAAATTGGAGAAGAAGAATTCAACGACCGAGTATTCGTTTGTCGCAGAATACCTTAAATAATCATTCCGTTGTGCAGTCAATTCCTCTACTGTCATTTTTCCCACAGGATGACCACATTGGCATTCGTATCCAATGTAACGTGGTTTTTCATAGTCAGTAGAAGCACTGCTTGACTCGCCTTGAACTGTGTCTACATTACTGGTATCTAATTCTAATGCAGTTAAGCTACATTTGCATATTATTTCCTAGGTATTGTAATTGGCGTTACAAAAGATACTCTAAAACAATAAAAGATTCAGAATCAATCAAGGACCCGTACGTGCGAGGATTTTTCTTCCATTTGGTCGAGCCCAATGTCGACCAAGATTTGCTCGGTCTCCTCGTCAATTCCATATTGTTCCACTAATTGTATTACTTCCGGTTGTATTCCGATATTTTTTAAGAACAAGAGTATTTTAGGCGTCGATTGATTGATCGGAGACTGCCAATTTAGGATACCGGGGATGTCGACGCCACTTAGCAATAAACGACGAAGCGTGCATGCATTCTGAATGTCTACACCGTGTATAAGAATGTGCCAGCAGTCTGGTTCGCGTATACCAATAACTCTCAAATTTGATATTAACTCAGGATTATATTTGCGGGAACATGTGTCTTCAAATTCGAGCATGAATGGATCGATATTGAACGGTCTAAAGTAAGAAAGTTCACAGGAACTGAGGCTAATAAGGCCGAGCTTCATCGCTTTTATAATGGCGTGTATAGACATGTCTGGAAAAGGAGTGTCCGTTTAATTATACGTTTGTCAACAGTCTACCCACGTAGTAACCACCTTTTTTTAGCAACATTTTTAAAACACGTGTAGAATACAAGCCACTGTGGACAGTGACCCACACACGTCTCTCAATTACGGTCTCATCGATGTATTGTGTCCTATTCAATTGACGTTCGACGCACCGCTTGAATTTACGTGTAATGAATTCTAACAGTTTCGTTTGGCTCCACGCGCCAAATTTTTGATACCCTCTGTTCGTTACAATTAAGTTTGATTTTCCTTTATTCAATTGTTCTCCAGACGAGTGTGATGATGCTGTTATAGAGGATGTTTCCCTGTAATCGTTGAGAGAATTTTGAATGAATGTATTCTTAATTTGATGCGATGCCTCAATAATCCGAATTATGACAATTAAAGTCTTGAAGTCTACCTCGCAATCTTTTTGCATCCATTTCCCTCATTGCAATGAATTGTCTGGCAATTCATGTTTCACTGACGGTGCTTTAAGTAAATGAAATCCAAATGTCATGTGGTCGGTTAAATGAAAATGTTACAGTAGGCAATTGTTTGAATGAAGTGTATATATTATTGATTTTATAAAAACTTGTATATTGGGATTCCGTGAAAAATTTCGGAATGCCGTTAAAGTTCGTTAAACCGAGAGATTAATTTAATAGTAAGAAATCCGATGAAATATACATAATATCATACACATAATGTAATATACATACACAATCATGAAATACAGAAAGTACTTTATTTACAAGTACATTACAATAGTTCTATTGGACACTTATTATACGCCCGATCTTCAGGAAAAAGGAAGCAGATGTAAAATTAAAAGACTAACACAACGCGAAAGTACGTTTCCCGTGCGGGAACTTATTATGACGATATGCATTGCATTCATAGTTTGTGCAAAAGATATCTAGTATGTAAGGCAACGAATAAATAAGTAACTGACTTAACGTGTTTTCGATCATCCGCGTGGGATAACGTGTGCGAATGCGATGGTAATGACTTTTCACCAATTTGCCTATCAATTTAAACCTACCTATGTATGCAAGACATATTTACACGAATACAAATTCAGTATTACAAATAGCTATATAAAATTTAACTATTTAACAAAGAGTTACACATTAGAAGCAAACTCATGTTGATCCTTGATGCACACGCGATCTGATAAAAAAAATACTAACAACATTATTCCCATCGGAACATTGGCGCAGACACGTCTCGGCTGAACATCTTCTCGCGACCATGAATTTCTGGTCCAGAATAAATTCCTACACAATCAGTAACATCCAATTTTCTTAAAAACGCAAATCTGATACCTTAGTCACGATCGAAATAAATCTGATAGAGAAGCTAAGTAAAATCTCGTTAGCAGACTTCGAGCGGTTTTTTTTTACAAATGGCAGCAATGTTGGATTAAGTATAGAAAATTAACACGTTATCTCCGTCACCACCACACTTAAAGCCAAGCCACATTATCTTCTCCGGCGAATCGTGCATTCTGCATTTGTAAAAGTACCACCACCCCGCCCATCCGCTCAAGCTATATCCTCCACCATAACCAGCCAATCACGCGTTCTGAAACCGTATCCCCACCACGTATTCTGCTCCGCCCATTTGCTCTAGCCGCACCCATCCGTCTTTAACAACCAATTGTGTGACCTGCACTGTAGATCCTTATGAACAGAACTGCATAGTACTCTTTTTATCAGCCGTCGTACATAAAACATTCCTTTCCGCGGCATACACGAAACAATTAACATGCTGCGTTACTCGTATTTGTTCATTAAATTCTCACACGTCGGTATCTAATTTCGAAGTCAAGGTTAGACCATATTTGTTAGGGCGTGATGCATTCCTTGGTAATCTTCACCGATCGAATGTGTATATCACGGTCGGTTAAAGCAAGCTGCAGTAGCAGCCTGAATTGTTAGAGCTATTTCCAGTATGTTCCGTTAGTTGTATCGCCCTCTGGTTTCTGAGTCTTGCTCCTCCCATGGAGGCGTGCAACCCGTTGACACCCAATCGGTCCCATCGATCCCAGAGACCAGGAGTTTGTATTATCTACAATCAGCAGCCGGTTAATTTGTATCCTCTGTTTATTTATTCAAGAATCGTACCTTCTGTACAAGCTCTTCGAACGAGCACTTGATGCCATCTTCTGTTTTAGCACTGCTCTCAATGTACATCGTCTGGTGTCTTCTGGCAAACTGTAGGCCCTCCTCTGTGCTCACTTCCCGGTTCGGCAGATCTATCTTGTTGCCTACCACCATCTTGACAATGTCTGTCTTGTTGCAGTAGGTGGTCAACTCGGTCAACCATGTCTCCAGCTTGAAGAAGGTCATCTTGTCCGTCACATCGTACACCAAAATGGCACCCTGTCCGTCCCTATAGTAGCTGGGTGTTAGAGTACGAAAGCGTTCTTGCCCAGCAGTGTCCTGCAAAAGGTTTTTGATTAATTTGATGAACTGTAATCGTGGGAGGTTACAAAGTTGAAACAACTAACCCAGATGGCAAGCTTCACTGTATTTCCATCAACTGTCATCTGTTTGGTCTTGTAGTCCATACCGACCGTGCTCTGCATGTTCTCATGGAACTCACCTTCCGTGAATCTAAGGATGATACTGCGAAGAAAATTTTGTAAAAATTTATGCATGTTATTTTCCAGCTGGAGAATTAATTGGGAAATATACCTCGACTTTCCAACATTGGATTCTCCAATTATCAACAGCTTCAACACTGTCAGTACTTCCTGTTCTGAATCCATAGTTGAATCTATCATGTTATTGTGGTTAGCTGCCCCTCCAGCTATTCCAAGCGTAATGAATAATTGCAACTGAAGGTTCTTCGGTAAATGCGAGGTACAGCTGTGTTACTCTACTAAGGACAGAGAGACAGTTAGTCTAGGACACAGAGGGTGTTCACAGTAGCTGAATAGTGTTGTTGGATATACAAAACAGTAATACAGGTATCATCAAGTGCCTACACGAGATTCAAGTAGCACTGAACCTTCTTCAAGGAAACAGTAAATTGCTGGTTGGTACAAGCGAACGCCACGACCGCGATCGGGGTCAACAAACAGTCGCTGCAGGAAACAAATCCTCCGAAAGTACAACGTCACTAATGCACGATCCAAGCCATTGTGGAAATCGGGGAATCACAAATTACAATACACAGTAATCGCAAACGTGACCTAGACGATAACGGCTGAAACGTCAAAACAATTATCTATAACAGTGCCCGCTAAATAATGCAGATGTCGCTTCAATTTGTTTCCAACAATTATTCCCTGGATCGACGGCCCGACGGGAGTGTTTATTGCTTGGTGGTCGATCGCGAAACGAGGCTAGCAAATACTAAAACCAGCAACCGGGACGATCTACTAGTGGCCAGCTTCTGAGAAAGGCTGACCGTCGTGAGATTGAAAATGGCCCTTGGTCCCGCTGGAGTCCCCGCGGCGTCCTTGTGCACGGTCAACCGTCGTCTACGGAATTTCCATTCGCGACAGTAAAAGAGAACCCAGCGATGTGCGTCCGCGAGCGGGCCGAGGAATTCCTTGGCTAAAATTACATATGCTCCGAAATGGAAAAAGATATGGCCGTTGGGATTCCTAACCTCGCGTACAGCCGGGGCTCGTTATCGCGAGCCAGGAGATAACAATTTTATCAACGGTGCTCGGCGAACGACGATCAGAAAAATGTGAGTTCATAGAGACGGCACTCTGGTGGGCTACTCGGTTACGGAGGCTGTGATCGATGCCCCGGCCCTGGATCCGATAAATACCACGGCCGAGCGAGAAGAGGGGCCATCGGGCATGCGATCGGCGATCTATTGACTTGCCTAACTGTCGCCACTGACACCGACACCGACACCTACGATCCTCCTCTCTCTCTCCTCATACATACTCACCCGGCTCGCCGCTAGACGTTCTCAAGCGCGATCCCATCCCCGAGATCATTCCGCCGATAAAAGTAAGTTTTCGTTCGCTATAGTGGCAGAACGACAAAACGAACAGAAGAAAAAAAGATGGCCGCCGGTGGGCTGCCATGAAGGGGCTGCGTCGCTCGTGCTCGTGGAAATGGGACGTTGCGACATCCAAGTGTCACCGTGGTCGTGCTCGTGAAGTGTCACAAAGTGTTCCCGAGGTGACGTGAAGTGTTTTGTGTCGGTTCCCCGAGACGCCGATTGATTTTCCGCGGTCATGGCATCCGACGGGTAAGAGAACCATTTATATTTCGGCCACACTCGTGTCTCTCCTAGGGGAATGGAGATCCGACGGGGAGAGAGAGACACGAGCCGCTGTTGGGCCTATGTTTCGCAGATCGATAGTGAATTTTTTTCCCAGTGACCCGTCCCAGTTTCATCGAAAAAGAGCCTGGCCACTATCCTCGGCCGTCTATATCGTTTCGTCGTAGTTCTAATCGGTTGCTATCAGGGTGGGTCTCTTTTTGGAACGGATCCTGCGGGTTTCGAACCTCCTATGGGATTATATCTCTTGTCCTCCTTTCCGTCTCGCTCTCGCTAACTTCTCTCTCTCTCTCTCTCTCTCTCTTTCTCTCCTCCGCTCTCTTTCTCTCTCGTTCTCTTTCTCTTTCTCTCATTCTCGCTCGCACAGGCACACACTCTCGCTCTTGTCACTTTCAGTTTTTTTTTCCTTCGCTGTGTACATACAACTATGTACGGACGAAATTCTGCTGCCTATTTCAGTCAATTAAACGGATAGCATGACATCAGACGGTTTGCTCGAATTGCGGCTAGCATTCCTTTTAATTTGTGGTTATGGGGTGGGGGTAAACACCCTTTTGTGTTAGCAACTAACGGGTTTGATAAGGGGAAGATAATCGCCGATAAAGCGGCCTCTCGCCATGCTGCGTTTTGCCGCAGATTTGGCAGAATGCTATTGATTAATTATTTATAACTTACGGTTGATCCGTGCGATTTTCAGTTTGCCACCGGTGACCACCGTGGCCGCGTTCCTGCTCTGCCCCCTTATCATTTATTCGATTGACGTGTTCGACGTTGCTCTCCTTCGCTATCCGCTATTCTTTTTTATTCACTTTGCCATATTATTTTTAGAGTTTTTAATTATAGCAGCTAACGGGAGTAACAAATTTATCTTGTATTCACCCCGCACGCCTTGATAACTCGACGCGCGTTTATAGGAGGTGTTAACAGTTTTAAATGTCAGGGTTTTCTAATCCCACAAGCCCTTGCTGCAGTTGCAACGTCGTGCATTAGTGTATCCAACTCGGTTTTGTGTCAGTGGAATTTTTTTGTTTAAACTAATAGAATATGTACACGATCAAGATGTAAGTTATTGACATGTTATGTATGGTTATAGTAGAATGGAATGGGTGGAAATCATAGAGCCTCGTACCCAGGAGCATATGTACGCAAACCTTACCACTGGAGAATGCGTATGGGACCCTCCACCTGGTGTACCAGTGTAAGTGTCACATTTTTGTCACGGCATTAACATTATCGTGCCAACTTTCTCGGAAAGACAGATAAATGCTTATCTAGGATTGAGTTGTCTTTCAGATTTAATTAGCCTGGTGAAAGTTATCATCGTATAAGGCTTTCCTCTGTAACATAGGAAGCATTTATAATTGCCAGAGATTTCTACTCCGGTGTATGATCTGAATTTAAATACCGTGCAGTCCACCAGTTAGTTTGGACTCTTAATCACAGCTGTTCTATTTGATTTCAGGAAAAAGACAGATAACAACCAATGGTGGGAACTGTTCGATCAAAATACTTCACGGTTTTACTATTATAATGCAACCTCTCAGAAAACTGTTTGGCACCGTCCAAGTGATTGTGACATCATACCGCTAGCAAAGCTCCAGGTGAGTGATTCACCTTTACTGATAACAAGCATTGAATCCCTATGGGTGGCAGCATTGATAGTACCGATGACATTGCCTAAAACTAGGTGGGTCATGTAAATATGCCTATGGTGAATGATAACTCTGAGCTCTTCCGTGCTGTCATACACAGTGTAGAGAATCTAAGTGTGCAAGCTGTCTGCTCTCCTCTCAGCTATAAATAGACGTTTGTAACTGAGAGAAAAAAGTACCGTGAGATAAACCTGAGAATCTCTGGAACTGCATTGCACGGTATCGAACGAATTCGATAGCCGTATTGGTCGCTGCCGACCTTTCCGCACAGACGAAAATTTCTATTTAATTAATTAAAAAATTAATCATCACATCGCAGACGTTGAAGCAGAACACGGAGCCGGCAAGTAGCAGTGGAGCGGACAACCAGAAGTTAACCGAGCCAAGAAAGAAAGAATCCGTTTCCACCCAGACACAGACCCCTTCCGTTAGCCGATCGACAAGGTTCAGTCACCAAGAAAGTTCCAATCTGTCTTCTTCGTTGGTACGTGCCCGAAAGCGTCCTTCGTCACCTAAACAACGTTCTAACGATAATAATTCCGCAGCAAAGTGGCAGTGCAAATAACAAAACACGGATATCTGGCGTCGGGGTTGACCTTCAGACGTCTCCGCCATCTCCTTCACCGTCAGCGAGGCGTCACCACCATCACCATCACCATCACCACAATAATAGGCACCACAGGCACCATGAAGTGCCCACAGCTCGTCGGCAGCACAATCACTCGCAGGATTCCGGGCGTTCCAGCGACAGTTCGGTCTCCCACAGTCGGACGTCCTTGGAATCGACTGGTTACCGGCTGCTGGACTCACCGCACCGGCACCAGCACCACAGACCTGCCCAACAGGCGCCAGCCAACCAAGCACAATCCTCGCCCAGACAGCACAGCGGCACTCTGGAGGCCAGGGGTCACAAGAGCGGTACCCTGGAGAGCGTGAAGAATCAGAAGTCCGTGCCGCTGGGCGAGCCACCGCCATTAGGTTTATCGCTTTCCACTAGCACCCCTCTGTTCAAGAAGAAGACGTTCGTCGACTCGCAACCACGCGAGGGTAGGGCAGGCAATTTAGAATTGGAAAAGAATAAAAATGGTAAGAATGTGAGTCAAGTTTCGCCTGTTCGTTCGTTGCCACCACGTTCACCGTGGTCGCCAAGCCCTCGTCCGCTCCTTCCGGAATTTTCATTCCTAAGAACGTACGAGGGTCCGGGCTCTGTGGGATCTAATCCGATGAATTCACGTTGCAGGTAGGGAGAGTAGTAGAGGCTCCTACGGTCCGGAGCCGAGCACCTCACCATATCGCGACTCGTTGATGGAGTCTAGACTATTCAGGCAGGAGATGCCTCCATACCGTCCGCCAGAAGTTCAATTGAGTCATAGTTATAAATCGCAGGGTGAGAAATATGGCTCCCTGGTGGAAAGTAGCAATCGTTATCATAGAGATAGGGACAGAGAGATTCATCATAGAGAGAGAGTAAATAGTTTGGACAAGACGAACCCTTCAGCCTTTTATCCAAGTTCCATGCATTCGCGTAATATGAATAAGCAAGATAATACTGGTAGCATAGGGAGGAGGCATCATGGTTGCTCGGTGTCCCTGTCCGAAGCGAACGTCAGGGACATGTACGGGGCCATGTTGGTGGAGAGGAACGAGCCTTCGAAGAGCCTGGTCAGGGGCACCGCGGGTGTCCTCAGCGGCGCGTCCAAGCAGCGAAGCGTCGACGTCGGCGAGAGGGAGCGTGAGCGAGAAAAGGAGTTCAGAAGAAACACAGCGTGCAATAATTCGATTGATTGTAAGCCGACCTTGAAGTCCCGGGAGCCCCAAATTACCTCCTGGCCCTGGCAATTGTTTAGCTACTCGAAGGTTCTAAGGGTCAGGAGCTAATTTACACGTCCACCATTTTCCTCAGCCACAACCCTAGGCTCTATAACATCCCGGCAATTGTTCCTCAAGGTGTGCAGCAGCCACTGGCCCGAAGCTACAGTTTTGTACAGCAACAGAAGCAGCAGCAGAAGATGCAGCAGATGCACCAGCAGCAGTCTAGGAGAAGGGACCGGGACGACGACTCGATGCATGAGCGTTACCTGATCAGCCAGAGCCACGAGCAGCCCAGGCAGAGGCTCAGCAGCAACACTAGCAGTAGCAATAGTAGTAATAGTAGCAGCAACAGCGCGGTGGGCGAAGAGACCGAGGGACTCACGGAGGGTGACGACAGCAAGAAGAAGAGAAGCAACGGCAACCCTAGTCCTCCACCGTCTTCGTTCTACAGGATCCCGTTGTCCGATGCCGATTACTTGCTGCCGCTTCAGCACTATATACTTCAGCAAGCGAAGCTCTCAGGTAGGCCTCTAGAATCCTTCGATTGACCCTCATAGAACCATGTCTCCATCGTCGTTCTTCGTACCGTAGGTTGTTATAAGTTCGGAGATCCTTTGTTAGTAGAGGAAGGTGACGACTCCTTGGATGAGGAGGGTGGAAGGGGCGAGGACATCGGCGGGAGGGCCGAGGACGATTCCGACGACCAGTTCGCGGACGACGAGGCAGCCAGTAACCAGGGCGACTCTTCCAGCCAGGAGTACCTCGAAGACCATTACGCAGGTTAGTTCGATAAGCTCTCTGTAAATAGGGGGACTACGCGTTAACACTAAACCTACCAAGCATTAAACGTGGCGAACCTATGTGTTGCTCTGTAAGAACGATGAGACTGAATTTATTTAGACTTTCTACAATACTTATTACAACGGATTCCTGTGTTAAGAAATTGATTAAAAATCACTTCCTACGAGAGAGTCTGTCTAATTTCAGCAATTCTGAAATACAGAATGTGAAACCGGTCATTTCGACCGGCTTAGTAGGTTTAGTGCTAAGTCCTCGTTGGTGTCGCAGACTTGGGCAATTACGACACGGCCGGCTTGGCGACCTACTACAACACCGCGGACACACTGACGAGGCCGCAGGTGCGGCCCCCGTCTCCTCCGAACACCACGGTGCAGACGGACACCAGGGACATCGTGACGGCGACGAGACAGGTGACGATTCCCACCTGCACCATCAGCACCCTGCCTACGATCGGCAGCGGGGTGGACAACATCGACACCGAGGAGGCCAGGAGGAACGACAACGCCGGCGGTGGCGGCGGCGGCGACATCGAGACGTACGCGAAAGACAATCTGAACCCGAACTGCGCCCGGCCGAAGGGGCTGAGGCTGTTGTTTCGGAAGAAGTTCAGTGTGCGGGACATCCTCAGCTGGTCGAAGGACCCGATCCCGCAGCCGATGCTGGTCGTGGTGGACGGTGAAAAGTTACTGAAGCGGGAGGCCTGCAACCTGTTCAGGCTGGTGCAAGTGTACATGGGTGATCGGAAGGCGAACGTCGGCATGACGCTGGACAGTGTAGCGATGGACATTGTAAATACCGCGTTCTCGAAGCCACCGTTGAGGGACGAGCTCTACGTCCAGATCTGCAGACAGACCACCGAGAATCCGAGGAAGGACAGCCTCCGCAGAGGCTGGGAGCTGATGGCCGTTTGCCTGGCCTTCGTGCCTCCCAGCGCCATATTCGAGCCCTACCTCGAGGGCTACATGAACAGACACCGGGATCCAAACTTCCAGTTCCCGGAGGTGGCCAAGTGGCCGATCCACGTGCAGGTCAGCCATTATGCCACGGTGGCCTGCAGACGTCTCCAACGGATAGGCGCCCATGGGAAACGGCAGCCCCGTAAGGCCACCATAGAGGACATAGATCAAGCCAGGGTATACTGTCCAGTTTAATCGCTGTTGTCCGTTGGCTCCGCCAAGTGGTACTGATCGGCGCTTTTGCCTCTTCCAGATTCAGATCTTCCGGGCGTCCATGTTCGGGGCTACGCTGTCCGAAGTGATGGCGCTGCAGAGAGACAGATATCCTACCCGAGAGTTACCATGGATACAAACCACCCTGACGAGGCAGGTGCTGGCGCGTGGCGGCATCCTGACCGAGGGCATCTTCAGGGTGTCCGCGGACGCGGATGAGGTCAGCGCCTTGAAGGCTTGCCTGGACAGGTTCGAGGATGGCACCATCCTAGCGGCTTCTCAGGACGCGCACGCACCTGCCTCTCTGCTGAAGCTGTGGGTCCGCGAGCTCTACGAGCCGCTGATACCCGACTCCTTCTACGCGGAGTGCGTGTCGATGAGACACGACGATCCTGATGTCTCGGCAGCTAACGTCGCTGCCCTGGTGGACAGGCTGCCCGATCTGAACCGGCGGGTTCTGTGCCATTTGATACGGTTTCTACAGGTGGGGATATCTTTCCCGATTCTCCAATCGCGTTCTCATAGTCTTACGGTAATGCTGATGTGCGGTTGTTCTTGCAGATCTTCGCCAGACACGAAGTGGTGGCCCGCACCAAGATGGACGCCAACAACCTGGCCATGGTGATGGCGCCGAACATACTGCGCTGCACCTCGCAAGATCCCCGCGTGATCTTGGAGAACGCACGGAAAGAGATGGCTTTTGTTCGTACTCTAATCGAGTCATTAGAAACTGCTTGGGTCGATGATCTTCACTGACCTTATTCTATTGCGCTAGAAGAATGAACGCTCTAGACTACTATGCCAAATGAAATCAGCTGTATATTCATAAGTATTGTTAGTTATTTCACTATTTCTCTATTATCTTTCACCTTCGTTTGGTCTCAACTTCATCACACCAACCACCGAACCAACCGCCACCGTGAGCCCTCTCCACTCACCCACGAATAGTCTCCACCCTTCCCTCCTTCCTCTCTCCTCCTCTGTCCACCTGTTTCAATGTTCTTAAATGGTAATTTTAGTGCTACGAGTCTTACCAAGCTAATCACACACAGACACCGAGCCCCCCTCCGCCTCTCCTCGTTCCCTATTTATTAATTTATATTGCAAATTATATGTTATACAGATAGAGATTATTATTATATTATGTATATCACTATATATCATATTATATATTTTACCAACCCCCTTGTTACCGCGTTGACCGTAACGCGGACGGCTTTTTTACTCGATTATTGTTGAATCTCGTGTAAGATAAACAGGAATCATGTGTTACCGTGTATAGCTCTGCACTCCGCGATGATCTTTTTGTATAAGCGACGAACATTGGCGTGTACAACCGTTTATCGAGGAGTAAACATTGCAAAAGATTAGCAAGCTGTACCAAACTGTGTTTCAATTTACTCCGGCGGACATTTTTTCGGGATACTTACCTCGCGCTTTATATATGGCTGTATACAGGGGTGACTCGCGTGTAACCGTCCGCCCATGCGTCTCTGCTTGAATTGAAAATCGGAACAAAATCACCTACAACAGAGATTTTATCGTTTCGCATTGCGTTATCGATGATTTTCCTGCTTTAATTTTAATCTCGAAGGTCTTTTCGAAGGTCACCGATTTATTTTTAGACGACACCGTGTGTGTTTTTATTTCCCCCAGCTAAGTTCATCCTCGCCGCAGTTGTTCCGATGCCTACATTTTTAATTTGATCAGAGACAGGGTGTGCGATTTCTGGTTTACGACGATTCGTCTTGTATACGGGGATAACACACTGTGCGTGTGTGTTTGTGATTTTCTTTTTTTTTTCGAAGAGATTGCGGCTGTTCAAACAACAACTGTTGAAAGTTCTGTATGGCATTACAAATTTATATTTCACATTCGACGGTATTTATAAAAATTACTACTAAACAACGCTACACAAGTTAATCGTTTACAGCTGCTCCCTTATTTTCTGGTTTGTACGATTCCTACCGAACGAGTGTTACGTTACCAGTAAATTATGCATTAAATATAATATATATATATATATGTATAGTTAAATTATACAGACAAAATATCACAAACGATGGTCGCCGTCGCGCCGTCGGCCGGCACTGTCTTTTTCGTTTTCTTTTTTCTTCGATGTAAATACCGTAGAGAGGAATTAGTAATTAGCAAATTGTTTCCGGAAGCCGATATAGCATAACCACTCGCAAAAACATATCTGCTTTCTAACACTACACCTAGCATTATCTAGTTTACACCTATCGAATTTTATATACAAGATGTACAAAGTTTCGTTGATTATACTAATACTGCTGCTGACGTGTGCCAATTCCTAGGTTCTCTTCGATCAGTGTTAACGTTCATTTACCAGCGTGCTTTTCTTTTTTTACGCTCGGAAGACTCGAGAGATTTTGCGTTCTCCTGGGGTCCAGCGAGAGATTTTGCGAAACGATTTTTTCTCCGTAGACTTAAGTAAATCTGACAAAAATTCATTTCTCTACTGCTTTCGCGACATCAGCGTTCCAAGATAAGTATCCGCATTTACAATTTTTTGTTTAGAACTTTCTTTTGTTTTTTGGAGCACCGTTCTGTTCGATCGTATTGTATTATGTATACATATATATGTATAGGCACTGCTTGGTTTCTTGGGAATCTCCGATCGCCTAAGTTCCGTGTAGAACTCGGTCGAATAGATCTTATAGAGCGATCGAGTTTCCGTAGTCGATCTTTAGTAACCGAATTACCATGTTTCGTCACAGGAACAACACGTTGCGTCTCTCTCGGTCCGGTCGCACTAACATTGGCCACTTTTCAGGACGTCAGTGTCAGCAATTATCGACGAAAGACGCCGTGGACCCGCTGGCGATCTCGGCGTATTCCTGCCTGCTAGCCGAGCAGAGCTTGCTGGTGTAGTCCGTTTCCCTTTTTCTGCGCAAACAGACCCGAGACAGGTACCTTTCGTTAGTCCCGTTAAAAAATGGATACGTTACGTGAGCAGAGATACAGTAATTTCTCCCTAATTTACGCTCAGATTGCGCACACGAACGGACAATTTGGGAAGAGGAGATGCGATTATTCGAGCCTTCCGTCTCGTTTTTATAGTTGTGTTGGCAATTGATAACTATGTATAAAAACGAGCCGTCCACTAATTTTGTCGAAGTTTCAAATTTTCGAAAAAATTGCTGATATTCGAACAGCTATAACTTTGTGAAAAGAAATCATACAACGATGGAACTCGGCTCATTTTAAAGCCCGAAGTGTCTACTTTCGGAGACCTTCCGTCGATTTTTTCAACAATTTGAGACACAGGAATGGGAAATCTTGTTCCAGACTTTCCGCAAAATTTCTGACCTCCGAAACATGGACGATATTCAAGATA